ATTTATACTATTATATTAATAATAGTAACAATAGTAATGCCTGATGGTACCAAACCAAAATGTTTTATAACTTATTCAGGCCCATTTGTCTTCTACTCCTTCAATGCTTTTGTATCTACCTCTTCATGCTGATTTTTCAAACCTTTCTGTATCCAGGACAGGGTTTTGCTGATGATGCAGGCTGTGTTTTTAGCCTCCCTCATGCTCCCACAGTTATGCATTCACACCTGGAAGTTTCCAGGCACAACTACAATATTCTTCTATGAACTGCTGTCCTGGTGTCATTAGAGCTTAGGTGCTTTGCTCAAGAAAATCTCACCTGTGTACGTTATAGTAGAAGATAGATTCTACTACCTCTTGGCTCGCCAAACTACTCCTTCCAAACGTAAATGGTGTGTCCAGAAAGGAGGAATTCCAGGATGTCATTTGTAAGGGGTAGCACAGTATATTTGTTAACAGGTCATTTCTTTAAAACTATGCACAACCCAGAAAATACTGTGCAAATTATTCCTCCTGATGATACAGATAAATGCTAAACACTTGTTTTAATTTGCATAGGGAATAGTTTAGTGTGTATTATGTGTCACAGAACCACATGAGCTAACTCGTGATATTTGTGACAGAATATAATGTACATGGGAGAGCAGTATGTGTTATGTTTATGTGATGAATTTCAAACCTGCTCTGAAGTGAATAGCTTTATACTTCAGCCATTTCACATGTAATATATTATAAACGATATATTAATATATTTAAACGAATCATTCCAGTTGAATAAAACAGATCAAGTAGTGAATTTGCTAGAATAACCGTAGAGCGCGGGGAAAATGTGCAATTTCGAGAAGAAAAAAAAACAGGAGACGAACGAAATGTATTTGATACCATTCAGGTATTTTGTTTTAAATTTAAATTTAGTATTGGTGCATAAAGTCGGGAAACTTGTGATGGAAAGATTTAAATCAATGGTCAAGTCTCTTGTATCGGTCAAGCTCAAAAACACTGCATCCCACCTTCACTACTCCACATCCCCAATTTCCAACACCGAGTCTTTGTTTATTCTTGGAGGCTTTGAATGAAGTTATCCAGATGACATTACTGTAACATCATTAGGGGTTATATATTCTGTATTTCTGACAGATTTTCCTTTAAGCATGATGTACTTGTTTGCACTATTTAGACCAATTAAAAGCTCTGTAAGCAGTATCTTTTACATGAACAATGAAACAAATAACACTATAATATGGAAGTGCTGTTAAATGCCGATCCCACTGAGACCAACACCCCAGTCTGTAGATCTATTTGTATGATTGTTTTTGCTTCATCTGTTTATATGGTCAAGCTGGAAATCCATTTTAACAATTTGTTATTTTTGGGGGTATACTGCAGTCATTTTACTTTGCCTATTTTAAATTTCATCTATGTTTACTGTACGTTTCAGCCATTAGAGAGTAAAAATAAAACTGCCATTTGACAAACTGCAGCTGCAGCAGTCAATGAAGAAAACAAGCTGCTGGCACCGGCAGCCTGGCACTCAGCTTCACTTAAGGAAAAGATGGAGGAGACCTTTTTTGTGGACCTAAATCTATCTGAATCCCCATAGGTTAAAATAAAATCCTAGGCTGCATTTTAGGGAACCACTTCATCTTCAAGTTAAATTCAATAAACTAAGAATCATGTTCATTGCCGCAGTTTCTTATCATTTATAAAATCACAGCTATTTTCTGGATTAGGCCACCATTTCTACTCAAAACTAAATCTAATTTTGTAATGAAACTTTTAGAATAGACATTAACAGTTCTAAGTGAATCATATTGTCCAATTTAATTTTTGAACTCGAATTGGCCCTCTTTACCCTGCTGTGGTGTAGCTCTCTCTTTTCTCATTCTCTACCTCTCAGACAGCTCTGTATCTTTGGCCTGCTGAGTGAGATCAGAGAACAGAAAGGGAGGGGGTAGGAGGAGGAGAGGTGGGGGTAAGGAGGGGGCGTCGTTTCAAGGGGGAGGTGCCAGGGCTTCCTGCGGGGGTTGCCTGTGTGAACGCACCCTGAATGACAATGCTGCGCATCAGGGCCTCAGCACGACTTCCTCAGCAGCAGCGCACACACCAACCAACACACAAACACACACTCACAAGGAGAGAGCTTGGGAGAACTGCATGGGCATGCAGCAGCAGCAGCGATAACAGAGGCATGCCAGTGTGCAAAAAAAAACAAAACACAAGAAAAAACGAAAGGACAAGGAGGGAGAGCGCTAAATGTCTCCAGCCGTCACCTTCCTGTCCGGTCGTCCTCATTATCAATAAGTGATGGTGGCAGCTTTTCATCTCTGGCATCAGATCACCGCGTGGTTTCCCGTGAGCGCGCAAATCACAGGCAGGCTTGTCCACCAGCACCACCCCACCCCACCACCAACCACCTCTTCCCGACACTCACTTTCACTATCTCTCCCATGCTGTCAGCGGGAACGGGCTTTTATCATGCCTGTTAGTATCCACTAGTCTACGGGAATCAGATGACGAGCAAATCCAGCGATGCGCACACGTTGTGACGTTGAAAAGCCATCTTGTAAATGATACCATAGCTCTGAGACCATGACAGCAGGTGGGTTATACGCACTGCGTGACCTCAAGGTAACAGTAGAGCCCAGTCAGAGCGTTATAATAGAGAAATTAGCCATAATGCAAATGCGACTCATCTTAAGAAAATGTATTGTTACATTTGAGAACTATAAAAGGCCAAAATAACTGATGTGAAAGTGCAAATAGGATTCATTTGACCCACTTTATTTATGGCCAAAGTCCATTTTGTGTTTTTTCCAGTGACTATAACATATTTATCTAACAAGGTGGGAGACTCAAACATGTGAAATAGTTTGTGACATGGAAAACAAATGGGTTTAGGGCTGTATTGAAAGAGTGAACAATGCATTGCATGTGTCCTTCAACAGGGTTGCTCAAATAAAGGGGCAATGTAAGTACTCCAGGTGCACGGTGCATTGTTCCTCCAGTACTTAAAAAAAGCTTAAAAAGATATCGAGAACTTAGATTTGGTGTGCAGAAAACCCCTTTCACCTTCCACACAGTGCCATTGTTAGATAAGCACCTGACTGAATTAAACTGCAATGCAGAGGATTGCCACTTTTCTTGACTTAGTGGGATTTACTTCTTAGTAGTTTGTATTACAAGTAAATGAAAATATTATGCCCAATTCAACACAATCATCTGTGAGGAGGACATTAATTGTCACATTATATGTAATGTAGGTTGAAAAACACAACCTACATGTGTTTGCTCATTTAACATTTTTTTTAAACATACATAGGTCCCAAGTTTGATGAGAAGGAAAAACAGGAGTACATGTACACCACACACAACAGTTTTGTGAGACTTTGTTGACCTCTACATAGTCTAGCACAGTTTGCCTTCAGATCCATTCTAAAACCCACCATATGGCTCACTTTGAGTAATCTACCAAGTGATTTTTAGAACAGACTCAGAACTCCAAATTATAGGTGGTTACCTGCCAAAGTAGCTGGTAGAGAAGACAAACAGCGAGCAGAACTCACAAACACTTCTCACCATTTAACAGATGGCCGGAGGTACACTAACTAACCCACCCTCATGCACACCGAAAGTAATCTCTTCCAAAGGCATGCAGGTGGTGTACAGAGCTTTAAACTCTTGTTTCAGCACTTTGAACAGCACCACAAGGCCTTGGAAACATGTCAGTAGCTGTTTAAGGACCAAGGACAGCGTCTAAGTGCTAATGTGACCAAAATTGGTGTTTTTAATGGCCTTTAACTCAATTGTTGTTCTTATATTTATTATATATCTATAAATAAAAATCAGTTTGAAAGGGATTTTCTGGCCACTGTCTTTTCATGGATTTCACAACCCCAACTACATTCCCAACCACCACCTTCATTTTCTTGTCCTGGAGAGGTGACAGCTTGGTCCATTTAGCCCATGCAAACAGCTTGCTGAATTGCATCAAAGAAGACTCAGATGCCAGAGCCAGAATGACAGACGGCTTGGAGGAGAAGGGAGGAATGAAGGGAGATAAAACCTCTTTCAAATTGTCCTCAAAATAACAGTATGTCCTCAAAAGAACAAACAGAGCACTCCAAACTCTCCCTGGTCTCAAATGAAATGTTGGTCCAACTTAGTTTATTGGCAACATCTTTTTTCATACATTTATCAGTTGAGAAAATTCTACAAAAACCATGGCCGTTTTTTTACCAAGGAATCCCATTTGAGCCGACTTTTATTGTTAGATTTGGCTTGGTACAGGGTTACATAACTGTCTGTGCTGTCAGGTGTGGGATGAAAGTAGGGACAATGGAACTATCGATTAAAAATAATCATCTGTATACACTAGCCAACAGATACTGCTGGGAGGATCCCCTGAAGTCTTTCCCCTGAAGAGACCAAAAGTGGCCACTGAATCATTTATTGGTAATCAGTTTCTCACCTTTAGCGTACTGTAATCCACATTAATTTACAATTCCCCGCTTATGGAAAAGCCTTCTGCTTGGCCTGGTGTGTTTAAGTAAACAGTGAATGGGGGGATTGCACTGTAGTGTTGGTGCTTGTGACATTTGGCGACCATGTCAGGAAACAGTGAGCGGGATCTCCTCAAGGGCCCATGTCCACAGTGTGCGTCTAACATCATCGGTGACCAGTATTTTAAAACATATTACTGATTAATACATAAAGAAAGGAACAATTATAAGACCTAGATCACCAAAGCGTAGTCTAGAAGTATTTTAGCCTTTCGACCAGATGACATGTTTCGCTGGACGTAGTTTCTTTATAACAATTATACGATTCAATTTAGAGTCACCCGGCTATAGGTAAGGCCAGCTGCCGTACCTTACCATACCCAACTGACACCCATACTCCATCGTGCGCTATGGGTAGTGGGTTGGAGTGGGGGAGGCTCCGGGGAGGCGGCGTGCGTCGTGCGCTGCAAGGCTTGGCCACGGATCTGCGCGCGGCGCTCGGTTCCTGTCAGACTGATCAGATGTTCAGTGCGCGGCTCAACCCGACGGCTGACTGAACGCAGGAGCGCCGGAGAAACGCTCCGCTCGTCGGGGTTATTCGTTTCCAAGGCTGATCTCCAGGGGAATATACAGCCTCCGGACCGACTGCGTGTTGGATCACGTCCCCCTGGGGGGTCGAGGGAGGAAAGAAATATAACAGAAGGAGGGATAGGGAGAGAGAGAGTGCTAGAGAGAGAAGACACGCTGGACTTGCTGTAGCTCTGCGGGGCTTGCTGCCTCTCTCTGGTTTGGGGAGCCTCGGGGGCGATGCTGCTGGGCGGGGATGCTGCACGGTTTCTGGCCGATGGCGGAGAAGATGCGAGCCGCTGCTACACACCCGCACCGCCGCCGTCGTATTTCCCGAACAAGAATTGATGATAGTGATGATGCTGCCTCCCCCAGTGGTCTTTTTCTGCTCCTCCGGATCCTACTCGTCCTGGATTCTTCTCCCAACCTTGGATTATAGATGATTGTTGTGGACATTATTTTTCTTTTAACTTCATCAACTCTTTTTTTCCGGGGGGAAGTGTGGGAAGACATAAATTAGTAGATTGAGGACCGGTGTATTTTCGTCTCCAAGTGCGCGCAATCACGCCCAAAATCAGTGACCGACGCCTTGGTGAGGAGGAGGGGGAGGAGGACGAGGAGGAGGGGGGATGCCGCACCGTCCATCACCAAATATCAACAAATGTCACCAGGCTCGGATTTTGGGGAAGCCCCCCTCAGTTGGCGTTTGCGTGTAACCCGAGTGGCGTGGTGGCAGTGAGAGGTGGCAGCAGGGATATCTACCGTGCCACATCAAACATTGCAGATAAATGGCACAAGAATAAATGAATTATTGAAGATTGTACTTATCTATTTCTATTTTTATCTCGCGAAAAAAGGGGACTTGGGGAGGGGAAAAAAGACAACTGCAGATCCTGTCAAGATGCACTAGACTGTTGAGAGGGAAAAAAGACGCAGTCTCCAGCAAGGGTAGCCTACTTAGTGATGATTGCAATATGTATTTAAACGCACAGCTATGCATCCTTCTCGCATGTATTTAAGGTGATCGATTTGTTTGCCTATTGAATTGCAAGATCCGGCTCACTCTTGGAGAGGTTTTTCCCAACCAAAAAAATAATAAAAACTGGATGCCTTGCTTTTTCGACGGAGAGAAAACGCCGATGCTCTGACAAGATATCTAACATTTTTGACAGTTTTCTCACCCGCCAATAAAACCAACTGTGTTTTTTTTTCCGTCAGAGAACTGATTTGCCAGAAATTACATAAACGCATCGCTCTATTTGCCATTCATATTCCAAACACACGATCAGAGACACTGTGCGTTTTCCCTCTCCCTTCCTCTCCCTCCCCTCTCCTCTCCTCCTCCTCCTTTCCTCCCTCCCTCCCTCTCCACACACAAATGGAGGTATCTTCTCGGCGCTGAAGATCTGGGAAGGAGACACAGATAGATAGAAGGAGAAACAGACAGAGATAAGCCAGAGAAGGAACCGAATCCAACTCTATTCTGCATGTGTGTTTGGAGCCGAAGCTGATGGGGTGGTGGCATGTGGAGGTGTCACTCTAAGGTTCCCCCCCGGCTCCTTCCTAACCTCTGGCGTTTGGTGTCTGCAGAATGGCGCGTTTTGGAGACGAGCTACCCAACAGGTATGGAGGAGGAGGAGGAGGTGGTGGTGGCGGTGGTGGCGGGGGTGCCGGCGGACAAGGGGGGCCCGGCCGTGGCGGCAGCAGGCAAGGGGGGCCCCCCGGGGGACAGCGGATGTACAAGCAGTCGATGGCCCAGAGAGCCCGGACCATGGCCCTGTACAACCCCATACCCGTCCGGCAGAGCTGCCTAACGGTCAACCGCTCCCTCTTCCTCTTCAGCGAAGACAACCTGGTGAGGAAATACGCCAAAAAGATCACCGAATGGCCATATCCTTTCATAAGCATTGCCGAGCAGCCTGCCAAGGTACTGGGGTTGTTGTGTGGTGTGTTTGCTGGTGTGGTTGGCGAGGTGTGGCCTAGTGTGGTAAGAGTGGTTTGGTGCTGAAATAGCCAGCACCTGCAGGATGAAAGTTGTGGTTGTTGTGGTGATTTCCAGTGTGGAGTGGTGTGTTTTTTATTTTATTTTAGTTTTTGGCATTTAGTGATGTTTTTTAATTGTCTTCTTTTTTACACTAATGTGTTTTGCAGTGTTGCTTTGCAGTGAGATGTTACATGATGACATGATGTGTGCCTCTGAAGTGTTGTATGGCTTTTTGCAGTGTGCTGTTGATTGATACATGACACAACACATGATTTCACTTCACTCTCACTGCTGTGTCAAACACCGATGGCCTCAGGCTCATCTGATAAAGCTGCTATTGATGGAATAAAAGATGATGTTGATAAGGAGGGTTGTCATGAAACCAGCCATCACAATCATGTTAATGCTGCTGGTGATTAAGATGCATCTTGAATACAGCGTTTAGCTAGAACCTGTTAGTGACCTGTGTGTGTGTGTGTGTGTGTGTTTTGGGGCAATAGTTGTAGTCAGAGCTGAGTGCTGATGTCAGCGTTATGAAGGCTTAAGCACCATGCCACCAGAAGGGAGAGGAAATGACTCTCTCCCTCTCTAATTACTACTGACCATATATGGGCGGCCTGTGGCTTGTCCTGCAGGAAGGCAGTGGAAAAAGCTGTAATTGTCAGGACAGGTCAGTCTATTGCTATTAGAACCTGGAATACTTTTATCTCTTTCGGGCTCAAGTCTATTACTTCTTGGTTACAAGAAGAAAACCTGCTAAATCCGATGTGCTGTGTGTTAATGTGTTTTGTTGCTTGGTGATGTAGTTTTAAGTTATTAGATGGTCAGTAAAAAGATGAACCGAGGGGCGCAATCATTACACCATTAGCATCTTAGACCCGTATACCACCAGAATACCCGAGAGGGCATAGTTTTCAGATTCAAGAGGATAACTGGCCATATGTAGACAATGTGACATCACAATAAGGTATTTTCAGTCGCTGCAATCAAGCTTTAAATTTAAACTGATTAACAGATTAACTTGCTTTAGGGCCACACATCAAATATAAGCTGTAAACAAAGCAGACCCCACATTAGAGCTGAAATATCTGTGGCTCAGGAGGTAGAGCGGGTTGGCGGGTTGGCCGTTAATCGGAAGGTCGGCGGTTCAATCCCGGGTCCCCAAGGCTGCATGTCGAAGTGTCCTTGGGCAAGATACTGAACCCCGAATCGTGTATGTGTAATGTGTGTGTCTGTTAGTTTCTGTTTGAGCACTTAGGCTCAGTGACTGAATGTGAGTGAATAGTGAATGCAGATGTAGTGTGAAAGCGCTTTGAGTGGTCGAAAAGACTAGAAAGGTGCTATACAAATAGTGAGCATTTACATTCTTGCTGGTTGAGTAATTGATTAATCAACTAATTACATTTTACAAACAATACATTTTTTTAGGGATAGTGCACAGAGACAGATCATGGGAACATGCAGGAAGAGAAGTAGGGGGTCTTCAAACTACAGACAAAGGCCCCTCTACAAGATGCGCTGCAAAATGATATAATAATTAAGGACCTATTTTAAAATGTGGTTTCAGTTGAATGTGTGCTGAAATGATGGATATTCCTGAACAAATGTGCAATTAATGAAATTGCCACAAGTCAACTGGGGCTGTTAGAACCTCTAGAGGTCTGAGTCACAGGCGCAGTTGCTCACTTTGTTGGTAGTACAGCTTTGCCTGAAGATCAAGTTGGTGCACCTGTCATTCTACCATTTTGGACCAGTGTCTGTCAATCACAATGGGAGAAATGGGAGAAATCTAGGGCTGGACGATATGGCCAAAAATGTTATCACGATAAAAAGTTTCATATCTTTCGATATCGATATCGATCGATATCTATCGAAGTATCAAATCTTCATTTCTTTCGAGTTTAAAGGCTGATCTTTGCTCCTGAGTGAAAGTTGAAGAAACTAATTAATTAATTGTGGTTTAAACTCTTCTTTTTGGTCAACACTTGAGGCCAAACAGTGTATCACTTCACAAATCTGAGGTAGAACATTCAAAACAATTATGATAAAGTCTTTGTTAACAAATATGCAGTAAAATTAAGTAAAAGCTTTTTTTCCTCAAAGTACAAAGACAAACTGCATCAGCTGATCTCAAGTGTTTGATACTGTTTATCAGTAGGTGTTAAGCCATGTAACGCCTTAAATGATGTGAGAATCAGGTTGGTCATATGATCCTGTAGTTGTGTATGTGCCTGTGTAAGTGTGCGTTTGTGGTAATGGTGGTGTGTGTTTATATGTTATAAAAAATTCATAGTGATATTCTCCCACAGAATAACAAAATAACTTTAATGACTACATCAGATCTTTATGTGCTTGAATCAGAAATGAACAAAATAATATGCATCACTGAATAACCAGACTGGCCTTCCTCTTTCAATTATTTTCCCTGAGGTATTTTATTTACTGCAGTATTCACTTATTTACCTTTATATGTATACTATCATATAGTATGAGACTTGTACAGTACAGGTGTCATCTACATAGTGTGGCCCTATACAATGCAACTTTACATGACTAGAATATACAGTTACATTTTCCATAGAGACAATTAATATAGAAAACAGATTGAGATCTCACAATCCACTTAAGTCAATAAAGAGCATTTTATTCTAAAATTTGATGTAAGGAATCCAAATGTTACCTATTCACACCAACTGAAAAACCTTTTGAGACCAGTGCATGTTTGAAAAAGAGGCTTTATTGGACGAGAGGGACTGCTGTGTTTTGGCAGAGAGCCTCCATGAAGGGTAATCTTTCTGCCAAAATGTTTTGACTTTTTTGCAGAAATAAAAACACTTTTAGGAATTCCATCAGCTTACTGAGCTGAGTTTGTTCTCTCCTTGCAACTTTCTTTTTTCAGTGTGTATACGTTGCTTTCATGGTGAACATGCTTTTATTTTTGATTCAATATTTAGAAATGTACATTGCTGAGGAGGATTATGTTTAGTGGTAATTTTGTGAGACTATGAATGTGTGAATCAAAATGTTATATTTATTGTTTTGCAGTTGATTGATCTAAAATTTAAATGAAATTAAATGTAGTCATACCCAACCTACTGTATGATGAACTTATACAGGCTAAATAGAAATATAAACTGTTATTGGAACATAAATATACATGCATATAATGTTGCGAAATAAAATCAGATGCAATTAAAAATAAACCAATCACAAAAACATTTACGCCTACAAATTAAGAACTAATGTTAATGCTGTTGTCCACTTAGCAAGGCTGCTGACAATATAATAAGCCTACTTTATAACGACAAAACAATGTGTGAAAATAATCGAACGATCTTCCTTGTTACTCATCTCATCAAGAAACATGATGTCATGAATCTACTAGTCATTAAATTATCACTTCTTCAACAAATGTGAATTACAGAGAAAACCTGAAGTAGAAAGCGTCAAAAGTTAGCCTTTAATTAGTTAAACTATGATGACATAATGAAAACCTACACCACCTACAGATAGTTTTCTATTGTCTCAACCAAAAGGTGTTGTTTTTATTTTACTGGCAATGTTTTGTTTCAACCCAGGAAGTGTGATGCTCTTATGCGTCATTAGGGAGAAGTTTGTTGGATGCATGGTCGTACAAAATGCAGGATTTGGATTTAGATGGCTTTGGCCTCCTGCTTTAGCATTATCTTCACCTGGTAAAACAATTGGTAAGCACTAGAGCCAGACCGATATGGGATTTTAAAGACTAATTAAATTTGAGGATTTTAAAATCTGATATTCCGATGTATTGGCAGATACACATTTGTTTGCTTCTTTTTATAAAAACTTCCATAGATTATCCGAAGTTATGAGACCTCACCAAGATAACATGACACAATGAAGTCTAAAATGAATTATTGTTATTATTGTTATTGTTAATTTATATTATTATATTTATTATTAATATTGTTAATAATACTTTGAACAAAGCTGATAAATGTCAGATGATTTTTGTGTTTTGTGATGCATTTGTGAAACTGCAATAGGGAAACTATGCAACGGCAACACCCATAACATAATTGAAAGAGCCGTCTCTCCATTTCTTTTTTAAAGAGGTGGTATTAAGCTTTTTGCCTTTTACCCTCTCCTTTATTGAGTTGGAAATCTTTTTTGTGCATATAATAGGTTTGCATAGTGAAAAAGCCCAAAGTCCATCACCCATCTCCCACAGAAAACACTGCTCTGAACTGCCTGAAAACAGCTCGTTTCCCAAAATGCACGTCATAGAACGCTCGCCAAGCGGCTAGTCCAACACACCCTCTCCTCTCCCTTCCAAACACTAGCTACCCTCCAGGCAGTCAATGGACATAAAGTTGTTACTGTGATGTAGAGACAGAGCTCAGTTAAAACTTTATGGATGAAAGATACAGTTGTTACAGATTAATAACTCACCACTCTGAAACTCTTGCTCCGGTCTATGTTGCCAAGCTGGTCGACAACAAACATATACAGCTGAACCGAAGCCATGTTTACTGGCCTCTCGCTGACCTGCCCTTCTCTGCTTCTGATTGGCTCGTAGTCCTTAACTTGGAACTGCGCATGTACAACTAATAATAATAATAATAATCTTTATTTGTAGAGCACTTTTCAAAAACAAGTTACAAAGTGCTTTAACAAGTGTAAAGACAATAATACCCAAGAGACAATAATACAAAAACAATACAAGATAAAAGCATGAAAACATTGAAAAGACTAAAATACATGTTAAAGATAAAATAAATAAATATAGATAAATATATAAAATAAGTAAAATAGAATAATATAAAAGGGATAAAATAAAGTCAAATGAGATCGGGAAAGGCTCTCCTATAAAAGTATGTATTAAGAAGGGACTTAAAAGAGTTCACTGACTCAGCCAACCTGATTT